CAACGCAGTCGAATGCCCTACTGAGATCACAAAATACCCGAATAGGGCACTCGCCCGAGTCGATGTATTTTATAAGCTTTTCATAGAAGGACTATTCTGCTGACATTGTGGTCTTACCAGCTGTGGAACTATGCTGGTTTTGAGACAAAATATTATTGTTCTTAAGATGTAGGAGATGTGTACCCAAAAAGACATATTCAAACTCTTTAGGAAGTACAGACGGCACAGTGATTGCTCTGTAGTTTGCAATATCAAGCTCGTTCCTATTTTAGAGTTGGTATAACTTTACCTAGTTACAGCCTACCTGGGAACTCTCCGCAACAAAATGAGATATTTATAAGATGTGTAAGTACTTTTATCATTTTACTAGGAAATTGGGAATGTCATCAAAACCGCAAGATTTAGAATTTTTTAAGCTTTACAAAAGTAAGTCACTGAGCTCGTTATCTGTATAACATATTTGACAACAGCTGAGGGTCTTGAACTTTTTCATTTTGCTCTTTATGTAGAACAAATATATTTTTTCGAACAGAGTTCTCATTTTTAGTTTCAGTGACCACTTGCCAGCACGCTTTGGTGGTGTTTTTAGACAATATAATTTTGTTTTGGTTGAATGATCTTCTTGTGTCTCTGATCAATTTTGTATGTGTCTTTTTAGCATCATTATACTGTGACATTGGTCTGGGATTTATTTGTGAAGTATAATACGAACATAAATCTTTCAAATTATTGCTTGAATTTTTTACGTTATGTGTAACTCAACATTTTGAGCCGTTTCGCTTACAGGCTTTATGTAAAGGAAAATGATTATTAAAATGGTACAAAAAGATATCAAAGAAATTTCCAAATGACTCAGAAACTGTAAAGCTAGTGTAGACTGACAAACAAGATTCGTTTAAGATCATTTAAAGTTGCTAATCGCGTTTTGATGAAAACTTCACCGACCACTGTGCGAACAAACCTTAGATTGTAAATATCTGTTAAATATCCTGTTAGTCATCTTTTTTAGCATCACTTCTATAATCCACGACCCGCAAAAATATGGCTGTTGCTAAGATTTATCAAAATCTGTTTTCTAGTATAAAGATGGAGAACATAAAAATAGAGCTCAACATTTCTCAAAAGATTAGAAAGTTATGGTAGTATCATTAGTCAGTAAACACAAAAGCATAATAAGAGGGCAAAAACGCAGCTCAGCTTCTTGTAAAGAGAAAAGTTCTGTTTCTACAGTTCATTCAGTAAGACGAAATGTTGCCAGGTCGTCAAATTTCGTCAAAGTAATTCGGCCGATGGCAGATTATTGTTGGCCTTCTTGCCTCTTCGTTTTTGCTATACATGATCACATCGTAACCCATAAACATGTTTCAGCTTTAATTTATATGTATCGATAGATTGCTATGAATTTGTGAATTTTTGAATAAACAAAGACTGTGTCAACAAACGCCAGGTATTGCTATTTAGGCCCGTATCGTCAGTCGTCCCTACAATTGTAGGGCGCGTTTATGGCCACCTTGATTGTCAACTCTTTCTCTCCTTCAAAAATTTCTAGATTACACTTGTCCGTGTCAGCGTCAGCGCTCTCCTATTGTGAAGATATGTTTTCTTTTTAAATTGTAGGAAATTTCAGGCTGATAAAACATATATAACTCAAAAAGCAAGCACAATTTGATGCAAATAGATGTTTGTGACATAACCTCATAATAGAGCGCTGATACGGAGAAGTAGAAAACTATGACAATCAAGGACCCATAAAGGCGCCCTACAATAATTGTAGGGATGACTGACGATACGGGCCTTAGGATGGACCCTACCATTAACCAGTTACTTTTTTGCAGCTGATTGGCCGTAAGCAATCATGCTAGAAGAAACTAGAGACACGATCACTGTACCTGCAGCATTCATGATCAGAATGCTAGCTTGTCTCAACCAGATCAGAAGAGGCGTACGTATTATGAATAACAGGAGAAATACTGAGGAAGAGAGTTAATGTTTTATAGAATTTGTTGTATTCACGTTGCAGTAATCATTGCAAAAAATAAAAACAAACGCCAGTATAGGATTTTTACAGTTGATTACTTGACTGGATCAGAGCTCTTGCCACTCTAGATGCTAAGAATTTCGTAAAGATTAGAATGCGTCTATTCAGAATTACTTTTACTTCCCAGGCCTACTGGCGGGGAAAAATTGTAATCGCGAATTTTTTCGAAAATGAGATATTATGTTTCTTGGATGTTATATGACATGTACATGACGAAAAAACATGTCAACTCGTTTTCGTCGGTCTGTCCGCTAATCTGATAACCGCCTATAACTTGAAGAGTACCGCTCAGACTTCGATGAAATTTTGCCGCGACACAACCATCATAGCTGACACTGTCTGCGTCTGATTGACTCTGACTACATTGCCGGTTCTCTCGAGTAACTATACTAGTATGGTTGAGCAACATTGCTAGATGGTCGATAGAGCGGGGAAGAAACTAGCGTTGCGGTATCATATGGGTGGGGACTATGGGGTTTGGACTAATTCCATGAGTCTGTTTGGCTATCTTAATCCATTTAATTTGCTTGATATACATGTTTGTAGCTAGTGAACTGATGACAACGTTGCGTGGGAAGTACATAGTCAACCTACTTGATGCCATTTTCATGACACACCTGTCTGTTTCCCAAATCGAAAATAACTCTGCCTTCTGAACATAATAGTCAATAGTTCATGATTTTTTTTTATATCTATCGAGTACTTACCGTCAGTATAATACTGTGCACACATATTTAATTCATGAAAATGTCTGTATTGGTTTTTAATTGAATATTTAAAACTGCAATGCCAATGACGTTGATCTGTGTAACGTATACGAAAAACATTCCCATTGAATAACTGAATTCTTACGAATTGATCAAACTGGCAGGCCGACAAACAATGGCAGTGAGAACAAAGATTTGAAATCGGTCGATATTTTATTATTTTCCATTTTTTATTAATTAACTCTCGTTATTTTATAGCGCTTAAGTATAGAATAATGTTGAAGATTTATGTGAATAAAAATAATTTACCGATATTGAATCGCATCCATATTCCATATTCTGGCTTGCTTGAGTGGCAAACATTAAAAATGTTTAGTGGTCACAGTATCTTAGAATGTACTGTCAAGATTCTGTAATGGTACTTTTTCACTCACGGGTTGACTGTATTATATATTGGCGTAGATTTGTGTTTGTGAGATGAGGATGTAGTGAGTGATCACATTTTTTGGGTGAAGTTGAAAAAAACGTGATGTTGCAAACCGTTGTGAGCGAGGTGCATTAAGGTGTGTAAAGGAAGTGTAGCCGTCCAAATTTTTAAAATATTCTTCATATGTTTAGAAGAAAACAGTCACAAAAAGTTACTTAAATGATATAAGTGCTGATATAATTCATTTTTGGCGTAAACCAATAAGTACAATCTAAGATTTAAAACGGATGAAGTGAGGCTAGTGCCAATGCTAATGTGATACGAAATAAGGGGCAAGTTTTTCTAAAAATTTGCTCCCTATTGTTTATTTCATATGATCATCGTTTTTCTTGTATATTATTTTGTACATCTTGCTATCTAAAAACGTCTTCAGTTAAAATATTTTGTGATAAAAGTTTACGTATGCTTTTTTACCAGTTTAGGATCTTCACTGATCACCTTATTGCACTGCACCTGCCTTGAATAGGAAAGAGGTATTTTTCTTACATTGTGATGAATGATTGTATAACGTTCCAAAAAATCTGAGAAATACTCTAATGCTTTCTAGATTCTGTTTTAAATACGGCTAATAAGCACAGGAAATATTACTGTAAACCTGACTGGCTTTTTTAGTAACCTAGCTAGGCACAAACTGCTTCATACTAAAATTGCGAGTGTAATCATCGAACTGATTTTAACTCTGGACATTTTTGTCACATTATGCTGTTTCATATCCCATAGAATGCAAATATCATAGTTAGATGCAACGTTGCCTGAATTGAGATATCCTACTAGGCTTAGGGTTTATGTATTTCTATTTATCTCTTATTTTTTAGTACAAAAAATGTGATATTTTCAGTATATATGAAACTGTCTTGATCATTTCTCGCAAATACATAATCAGCTAAAAATTTATCAAATGAACTATTTAAGAAATATTACCAATTGAAGGAGGAGTGGCCTATAATCTCACATGCGACACTGAAACTTCATTTATGTGGTTATTGTTATCGTTTGCCACTGTGCTGTCACTTTTGTTATGTTATTCGATTTTAAGAAAAAAGCTAGTTAATAATGATGCTTCATTCATTGTCGCATGGTCTTAGCGTCGGGAGATTTTGTCGAATGAAAAATGTCGATTGCGTCAGGAAGACGCTTTATGAGTTTCGTCTGACATTTCAGCTATCTCGCATGTGACATTGGACATTCGACATTCTAGAGCACTCTACCAGGCTGTCCAACCAAATCTGAGAGAAAAGGATGCCCTACTGAATTGCGTTAAAAAAAACAATTTAACAAAAATATGTGACTACGTCATAAACTTGACAGACTTGGTAGCTTCTAGTTGTGATTTTTTGCAGATTGTATCTTTACTTACAGTATTATGTTTCAAAATTGTGATGATAAAATAAAATTTTCATGTTTCCTTGGATCAAAGGATTTTTTGGAATTCATATTCACGGCTAATGATGCTATACTTGGAATATCTATGTTATCAATTTTATACTTAAATCGCAGAGCTTGATTATGTAGTCTTCTGAAATCCTGAATTGACATCCTTTGGAAACGAACAAGTAAAGACTTCAGCCATCGGGGTACTAGTTAAAAAGTCCATTGAGCTTGAGGTCGAAATGAAGTATATTTGAGACACATACATTTTTTAGATTTCAAATACTTTGTTGTATACGTCACGGAATCACACGTTTGCATCAATCTATAATAAAAGCTTGTTGCGATTTTTTTAGTATCATTGAATAAAACATTAACAGGCTTAATATCGTGATTTTAAAGTGCTATATTATATGAAAACATCTCTGGGATCGTCTAGCTTTTGCGATTCTTGAGACTTGGCAAAAATTAATGAAGTATTTCACGCACGACTTTAAAAACTGCAGTTTTTAGAAAAAGGTGCGAAATTTCACTTGCGAACTTCGATAATAATGAAGGTAACTTCAACTTTTCCATTGCTGCTCACGCGAATGTTCACTAAGTTCCCAGGTATAGGCAATAAAATCCCTGTATTTAGTTCTATTAATTTTTTGCGCTCATTCTGCTAATATATCACACGATGCGTGCGGTGACTTTTCTAGCATTATTTAAACAAAATGTAATTTTGGGAGACTGTTTGGACCGTTGTGATTTTCAGAGGCGAAGACGACAACAGTCAGAGCCATCTGCCGGAAATTGAGGACGGAACCAAAATGTGAAGAATGAATTGCCTCTCTTCATAGACGACAAGCTTTTTATTGATTTGTTCGCTAATTTTATGTTCCCTTTTAGAGTACTTTTAAGTTCATTTTATTGCCCACAAACAAATTATTATTCTAGTTCAACTTACCTTCTTAATTTGATTTTATTTACGTCTACAATAATTTTTTTTATCTATCTTCATTGTACAAAGCCTTCAATGTTTCTTGAATTCACTCATTATTCACTAATCAAGAGAACAAAACATCCAGTAAAAATGATTTTATTTAGATGAAGTTTACAGTTAGATATCAGCAAAAGGAGGTTTCGAAACAAAAATTTAAAATGAAAATATTTGCTGTATTTTAATTTGTATTGGAATACGGCTATTTGGATTCATTTAAATATGCTTACTTTAAACTTGATTTTCATTTATGTATTTGAGTTATTAAATATACGATGAGGTTCAAATTTGGTTAACGTTATAATCTGTCTGAGAGAGAAGCGCGAGAAGCGAGCACTATTTATGTTAGAAAGAGTGCGCCGATGACAACGCGGCAAACGGTAGCTGCGTAACTCTCCTCGTCACTCGGGTTGATAGGCAAACAAGGTGCTTCCATCTCTATCTAACACACGTATTCCACACCTTTCTCACTCTCTCTCTCTATCTCTCGTACACATTACGACGTCAGTGGTATATGGATTTCACAGTATATACGTTATGTTACCGGTAATCTGCATCATTAAGGTATTCTATACAATACATAGGCAATCAATAGACTACCTGGGTTGCCCATGTATGAAATATTGTGAATATTATTATCCATAATGAATACAATTCCTAAGAATTGTATAGAGTACCTGTTGTTCCACCCGGAATGTGTAAAATAAATAGATCTTGGTCTAAATTTATCATTGTTAACCGGCATACCTACAAAATGACGGGCAAATAAAACAAGTTATATTATTTGAAATCAACTTTATTAAAATTAACAATTAGAGTGCTCCTTAAAAATAAGCTTTATGAAAAGGGCAAAAAAACATTTCTGTTACTAAAGTAAAATCACAGTAAAATTAAAGTGAAAGTAAAAATTATTCGAGTAGTATTTGCATATCGGTCAAATGTATTCTGAATATGATTCAAAATACCGAGTATTCGAATAAAAGTTAGCCCTACTTGGTTCTAAAGAGCTGCTAGCGATTTTGAAGGAAGGCGGATATTTTCACTTCAAAATTTAATCACGTCCAAGTGTATATAAAATATAGTTCAAATAACATCATTTCACTGTAGGTCCTATTATCTTTGCCATAGAGTATATAAAACTGAATTAGCTGGAAAGGTGTACTGATTAATAATGTATTTCAAAGGTTCCTTGATAGATCTGGATATGCCAACTTATTGCGGTTAAAATAAGTATACAGTTCCTTTTGAATACATTTTGAATAACATACAACTTGATTTTATAAAAACCACAAAAATATCTTTGAAGTTGCGTTTCGATTTGAAACTGGCCAATTTTAAAACCACGTAGGCACTATAATTATATTCTCACAAATAACTGATTTTACCTCCTGAGAATTTTAAGGTATTTAAGACTGGATACATCGGAGATATTTGAATCAAACCTTTAAGTCTATTAATCCGATTTTTTCACAGAATGTTCCTTCGCCGTACGCAACTTCATAGAAACTATTTGAGATTGACCCAAATCAGGAGCAACTGTGAGAACTAATTTGTTGTAAGGATTTATTCTTTGAATAAACACACAATGTTCAATTATAGAATATTTCGGAAACTTCGATAAAGTTACGTTTGTTTTGCATATGAGCAGTTACACAAAACAAAGTCTAGTTCGTATTACAGTCTATGATGCCATTTTGTTGCAACAAATTCGACCAAGTACGTTTTTGAGCATAGATTTCTAGTAATATTGAATTAATCTGCATATCTCATAAAGAGATTTTCTCTTCGATCTGTAACTGGTCAAAATTCTTCAGGAATATTCGACTGAGTCACTCAATTATAACAAAGAATTTTCCGCTACCATTTTAAAAGCGTTTTTTCGATTATTGGTATCTACAGCTAACTTCATATTATTATTATTGGAGTATTTAAAACACTACCGCCTGAAGATGAATTTCATTATAGTCATGCAGTTACTTTCTTATAAGTTATTTATCATTATACATGCCATTATATAGATGTTTTGTAAGCTAAAATGGCAGATCTTTGAACGGAATGTTTATTATTAATATAGTTGATTCACTATAGGTATTGCATTCGTTGTCAGTGCAATGTACACAGCAAATACAGAAGACAGACCATCCATGACAATTGATTCAAAAGCAATCGAATCAGGTAGTATCGACAACTCAGCGATTCTAAAGGACGATTTACTCTGGCTAATAATTGGATTTTTAATAAGATTTACAGTACTTTTCAAAAAGCCCATCCTACTTATTTTTTGAACGAGTCATGTTAGAAAGCCGAAACTCGGGAATATGAAATTGATGCATGAATATCTTATTTTAACGTAAAAATAATAGTTTAGAGTTTTAAGGTGGTATATTGTGTCATTTTTTTATTACTTGTTTGGATATTTATCCTTCCAAGAGTTTTGATGATTTGGGTAAGTGACTCAATGTGCAAAAACTCTTAACTTTGACAGCCTCGCAGATAGTGATTTAATGTTTTAGGGTTATAAAGTTCTCATAAAGAGATTCAAATTGAGGTACTCGCATTCCATTAAAAAAAGTTCCAAGATGGTGCCCAACCTCCATCTTGAAATTTTCAATTGCCACTTTCACGCAAAAATACTATTCATGTATCATTTTATCGCCTTTTAGCTTGATAACTTGATCCGTTCAAAAAATAAAAATAAGGCAGAGCTTTTGAAAAGCGCTGTATAAGTCAGGTACGTATATTTAATTTTTGAGAAGTGATGTATGTACAGTATCTTATGGCGCAGCCAAGAGTATTTTGCGTGACCCAACAGATCAAATTGTAAAATAGATAATTTTTGTATAGATAAATGTTTGAATTGCTATAAATTTATATGGGTAAAAATTGTGATTTATTTCATCGCGAATCTAGTGTTTAGTTGTATGATATTATGTGTAATTATTCTTCCTGTTTAGGTTAATTCGTTGAATAAAGCACTTAGATTTTTGTTTTTTTTTTAATTAACAATGCCTACTATTTGTAACTTCCAATGCAGATTCCAGAAATGTTGATTATAAACTCCGACAACAACAGAAAATATTTAGCTTTTACTTGGAGTAAATTGCCATGTAAGATGTAGTGTTTGTGAAATCGGACCTCTTGTGGTCGTCAAGTATACAAACACACTATATTTTTCTCAAGCAAGTCAATACACGCGCAAAAATCAACCTTGGGTTGATTTTACTCAAGACAAGTAATTGATGGATGGTTAAAGTGTGAGAAAACTAGTAAACATAAAGGGATGGAGATATACATGGTGCCCCAGAAATAACACTCAGAGTGACACACGTGGTAGATTGGCTTCAGATCAATCAGATACCAAGGTCGTGGTAAAAGTTTTCTAGTTTTCGAGATATTGCCATTTTTAAGTTTTTCAAAAAATCCATACTTGTGCTCCTTTTTTTCCTGGGCTGCCATTAATTGTTGGTTGAGACAATCGAGTATTCACTTCGTTGAAAACTAGCACGGTATGCTAAAAAAATTATTAGATTTTGTTTGAAAACCTTCACTAAAGTTTGACTAATTACTGTGAAAAAAATGCACCGGACTGAAACGGCAAATGATCTAAAAAACTGGACTATTGAATGCTCTTTTAAAAATAATATAACATTTGTAGGTTATTTCTACTAAAAACTGAATAATTCCAATTTTTGCAATTGAAGTCGTATTACTAGCGAAATACTACAAATAAAAAATAAGTGCAGCCATCTTTTATATTCAAATCACTAAACGCGGGATTTCATTAGTCAATGGTATTGATCAATAATAATAAATCTATGCCATTGAACATAGAATGAATGGTAAATTTGATCACGCTGTGCAAATCGATAGAGCAATATGGTTGACGCGATGCTCACAGACTATTTCACTTCAATTGCATAGATTCATTATAATTGATTGACTAATGAGAACGCGGCTTCAGTAATGAAACGATCCAAACATGACATGACATTGACTATCTCGCTTTCACATTCATTGTTCGGTCAGTAGCATTATGTCACCTCGAGGAACAGAAGTGGTACCTGCGCAGCGCACGCGCAGGGTTAATTTAGTACTGCTCCTTTTGTTAGTGCTACACACGTGTTATTTAGCTCTTTCGCTGCTAGGTCGTTTCATTCCTTAGTGATTTGGATACAAAAGACGACTACACTTATTTTTTATTTGTAGTATTTCGCAAATATTACTTCAATGACAAAACTTGGAATTATTCAATTTTTAGTAGCAAGAACCTACAAATGTTATACTATTTTTAAAAGAACATTTAATAGGCTAGTTTTTAAGATAATTTGCCGATTCACTCTGGTACAGTTTTTTCACAGTAGTCAAACTTCAGTAAAGGTTTTCTCATTGAAACAAAATATATTAATTTTGTTCAGCATACCGCGCTAGTTTTCAATGAAATGCATACTGGGTTGTCTCAACAGACTATTAATGGTGGCCCAGATAAAAACTCGTAGGTTAGAAGTTCTTTATAGCTATAACAGACAAAAAGGAGCAAAAAGTAGTGATTTTCTGAAAAACATCTAAAAGTGGGAATATCTCGAAAACTAGAACACTTTTACTAAGGTCATGTTGATTTTATTTGTTTGTTTCAGATTTATTTAGCATTAATGCTACAATGTCCACAATATCCATATTACACAGTATATAACAAAATATATTATGTCTTATATATACAAAATTTCACTACTATGAATTCTGGTTTTCCATGAGATATTTTTTCAATTTCTGATTGATCTGAAGCCAATCTACCTCCCGTGTCACTCTGGCGTGTTATTTCTAAGACACCCTGTATAAACCTTGCACGATGAATAAATACAACAAATATAAGACGTGATTTTATTTTCACAAACAGTAACTTGACAAAAATAT